CTTCTGGATGCTCCGAGGGAAAACCCCTGCCCGCGCCTCTCCTAGCTTCTGGTGGTTGCCCACAAGCCTTGATGTTTCTTTTCTTAGCCTCTGGACTCACCGTTTCTTCGGTCTCCATCCTCACATGGCATCCTCTTCTGTTTCTTTCCAGATATCCTCCTTCCCATAAGGACCCCAGACATTGCACTGGGGCCCTCTCTAATCCAGTGTGACCTCACTCAACTTGATGACATCTGCAAAGACCCTTTTTCCAGTTAAGGTCACATTCACAGGTACCGGGGGCTGAGACTCGGACTTGACTTTTCAGGGGACACAATCGGATCCATGACGCTATGCAAACATCAATCAAAAGCAGGCTGGAAGTTACTATAATAGTATCAGACACAACAGACTCCAGACCGAGACATATCACCAGGAATAAAAATGGTAGAGGGGGCCAACTCATCAACAAAGGCAAAGCAACCCTCATTGTGTCTGCACCTGCTCCAGAACTCGACATCCCATGAAGGAAGGGACAAGACAAATCCTTCAGTAGAATCGGAGGTTTCAACATCTCTCTGAGCAACGGTAGAGCCAGCACAGATCAAAAATCTTTTAGAAGAGTTGAACAACGCTAACCATCCGCCTGGCCTGCCGTATACAAAACACTCCACCTGTATGCTCCAAGCGCACGAGGAACATTCACCAAGGTGGACCGCACTATGGCCATAAAACAAAATCTCAAATTTTAAAAAGGATTGACACGATACAAAGTATGGTCTCTGGCCACCAGGTAAATACGCAAGAAACTAATTTTGGAAACGCGTCTGGAAAATCCTCAAGTATTTGGAAATTGACGACACATTTCCAAATAAACCATGGGTCTGAGAAGAAATCATAATGGAAATTAGAGAACATTTTCAGGGGCGCCTGGGCAGCTCAGTTGTTTAAGCATCTGACTCTTGGTTTCGGCTCAGGTCATGATCTCAAGGTTCATGCGTTCAAGCCCCGAGTGGGGCCCTGCGCTCACAGTGTGGAGCCTCCCTGGGGTTCTGTCTCTGCCCCTCCCATGTCATTCTCTCTCAAAATATATAAATAAACTTAAAAATTTTTTTTTTCGCAGAAAACACAACATAATCTTGCAGGATGTGACTAAAGTAGTGCCTAGAGGGAGAACTATGGCCTTCAAACCAGATGTTGAAATTCAGACCCTGGTTCCTCCCAGGACCCTCTCAGCGAACAGCACAGGTTATAAGAATGGATCATTGCTTACATTGTGATTTCGTATGGGCCACAAAAGGCCGCTTCTTTAAATTTTTTTTAAATGTTTATTTATTTTTGAGAGAGAGAGAGACACACAGATCATGAGTGAGGGAAGGGAGACACAGAATCCGAAGCAGGCTCCAGGCTCTGAGCTGTCAGCAAAGAGCTTGTCGCAGGGCTCGAACTCACGAACCATGAATCATAACCTGAGCGGAAGTGGGGCGTTCAACCGACTGAGCCACCCAGGCGCCCCTCAAAAGGTTGCTTCTTTACTTTACTGATCCTTTTGCATTTATCAGCTAAAGTTTTTGTCTATAGAATCAACCATTTACCTTGAAACATAAGGTAAAATAAAAGGCAAAAGTAATTATTTTTTGCTTGAGCCTTTATTTTCAGAGTAATGACACGATGCTCAGCAGCATCCACCTGTGACTATACAGTTTTTTTTCTGCTTTTGAGGACCTAGGTTTGGAGGGGACATAGCATCACCTCTGCCACATCCTATTCCTTAGAGTGACTAAATGCACACACGCTGAAAGGGAGCAGGGTTTGGCTTGGAATTTATGAACCCATCATAAATGAACTTTTATGGCACACTTTGATTCCTGAAAGTCGTCTCCTTTACACTGTAATTCTAAGAAGACAAGGATCATGCATTCTCGGGGCGCCTGGGCGGCTTAGTCAGTCAGTTAAGCCTCCAACTTGGGCTCAGGTCATGATCTCATGGTTCGTGAGTTTGAGCCCCGCGTTGGGCTCTGTGCTGACAGCATGAAGCCCACTTCGGATTCTCTGTCCCCCTCCCTTGGCTTCTCCCCCCACCCCGTCTTCAAAAAAAGGAAACAGTAAAGGAATCCTGCATTTTTGCCTCGCCACTGTACCCCCAGCAGAGCACGGCCCACTCAGGCCCCTAACTTCAGACCTTTGTGGGCAGTGGAACCGAGGACGGTGTGGGGGTGCTCTCTACAACTCGGAGAGATGTCTTTGGAAAACACACGTCGCTTGTTTTGCACGGGGCGTACATCCACATTACCTGCACTAAAGGACATGACAAGGCTCAGGATGCCCGGCTGGCTCAGTCCGGAGAGCACGTGACTCTTGACAACAGGGATCTGAGTTTGCCCACATTGGGCATAGAGATTACATACATAAGTAAACTTAAAAATATATATGCTCTGTCTCTCCCTGTCTCAAAAATACATAAACGTTAAAAA